AATTCAATTTAGTCTTTTATAATTAAATATGCCGTTAACTTGCACTTTGAAGATTAAAACATTTTCAAAGTTGCATCTTTTTTATAAACAATGAAAAAATTATCTATAAAGCCCAAGATTTTATTTGCAGTTCAGACTTGTTTGCAATGTAAATCACTGTGGTGGCACATTCAGTGCCTGGTCAACTGTTGCACACAGACGTTTATTCATGAACCACCTAATTCAATCATGCTCTTTCTGTTCTGGAATCATATTTTCTATTTTTAGCATCAATATGCATTATTTTACATTGATCGCCACCTGCCAATCATCTGCCGAGTTACACGTCATTACATAGCTCTTTAAATGGTGTTCCGTTTGGACAAACATTGTGCTTTTTTACGCATCTGCACATCGATATTATTGTACTTTCGAACCCTCAATAAAATCTCGAGACATATTTCAATGGAGCAAAGATTCCTAGAGTACTTCTCTGATTATGGAACAATGGAAAAAAGGTAATTTTTCGAGAAGAGTAACAACAACAAATTGCATTTCTATACAATTACGATAAAATCACATTAAAATATTCGATTTACCAAATTATTGAATTAAAAAAGAAATGGATTAACTTGGGTCTGTCTAAACTCTTGATGCATACCTGCAACCACACTGCAGTTCCAACCAACTTTGGAATTCATCCAATTTAACTGATTCTTAATTTTGCAACTGGAATTTCTTTCTGGCAGCAGGATTTGATTGCTTTAAAATACAAACATTGTCTAACCGTGGCTTTATCAAACCGTGTACCTCTAAACTGCTAATGCAAAAGAAAGGTGTAAGATGGTGGTAACACTCCATCAACCTCATCTTCCTTCATTTCGGAGATTCTACAAGTTAAAGATTTGAAGATAAGTCAATTATGATACAAGATACAATTCAATTGAAATCCATCTTACCTGTATTCAAACTGTTTGATGTGGTATTAAAGAAAGATACCTTTCAACAGGAATGTAGTTAAGTTCCGCTCTTACTCTGTCAATGTGACTGACAAGCGTTAAATATGTAGCCCCTGGATACAAGTCGCCTGAATGACAGGTATGCATTAGGCAATGTCCCCGCAGAAGTGAATGGCACCAGTTGACAGACTCGTCGGCTGAATACTTGATGGTCCTGTCTCTTCTGCTAACTCTTTTTTTTTAAAGAAAGCAAAAACTTTTTTCTCTGCTAGTTGTGAAAGCCTACATTTTTTCTGCTGTCGATAAGGCAATAAAGTAGTTATTTCTGACTAAATCCATGAAATGAACAAATTATTTTGTCCAAGAAATGTCCTGCAATTCTACCAACGTCTAGCAGAGGATTGCTTTGTGTTGTGTAATGAATAAATACAAACAGAACTTCTTCATGGCTATTTCTTTGGTTAATAGAGAAAACTTGACTCAAGGTCTTCTCAGTAGATTCTTGAAAATTGACTGATGACAACCGCAACCTCTTTTGACAGTAAGCAACATACTTGCACGCTGTTCGGTTTTCCCTTATCTTTTGAACAAACGAGTTATAATTAAAAAACAGCCACTCCGAGTGGATATATATTGAGACGTCTAGAAGACGTGAAAAGCGCTATATCAAATGCAAGGCTTATTATTATTATTATATATATATATATACATATATATTCTTTCAATACGTGCACAGCTTACAAAATCCAATCAATTGGCCGCCTTCGAGAATTGTAAGTCACAAAACAATCAATAAATTTTCCACAAAATTAACAAAAATATTTGCATGAGGAAGCTGCTTGTAAATATTTGCAAATAAGCAGAAAAGACAAATGTCCTCTCACTGGAAGAGTTTAATGCTGGGGATAGATGAACAATTTCATCAGAAAAAAGATTACCTAACCTGGGTGAGCAGGAACTTCAGTTGAAGTTAAATGAAGCAGTGATAGTGAGAAACTGAAACCTGGAAAAGGAAGAAACTCATAGCCATTAGACCTTAAACAAGAGGTGGTGGGTTTAATGCTCCTGGTGTTGAACTGGGATCCACCAAGATGATTCACTGTTGTTCAGAGTGCAAGTGGACTGTTTGTTGGCATTGATCTCAAAATGGAAGCAATATCATACCTTTGCCATCAGTATAAATGGAGCATAAAGGGGCTCAAGGAACATCAATGAACTGCCAACAGTTTCATGATACCCAGAAAGTATCCTACAGGACATTCACTATCAACTCTCAAGAACGTTTCCCATGTTGGAAATAGATGTAAATTCTTCTGGTGTGAAGCTTTTGTGGGAATTTCGCAAACAGCAGCCACTATAAAGTTGCCAATTTTCCATTTTCCTGCAAGTCATCCACATTGCCCATATCACAGAGGGGCTAAAAGGCATTTCATTCCATTCTTTCACAGGCTACATTTTAATAAGGTACTGTTTTTACAAGGTAATAATTCTTACATTTATTTTCAATCTGGACCCAGGCGTTCGCATTTTATCCTCCAAAAGAGCCCATGAATGTGTTCCTTTCAAGATAAAAAGCAGAAATCCCAAGAATTTTTGAAGGAAAGCTTCCAGGATTTTATATACAATAAAATACGTAAACGAATAGTGTGCGCAACACAATGATAAATAATAAATACTTAAGGAATTACTCGTGAGGCGATGTCTCTAATAACATTAATGCTATTAAAGCCATTTTTCACACAGTGAAGTCCTAACAAATAGTCATCTTCTGAATGTTCGATTCATTAAAGAATTCTAATCCTGAACTCTGCAGTGTGCAGTGTAGAGGGTGACCCAAATGTCATGATACCATTACAATGTTTAATAAGTATTAAAGAATGATGATATATATTTTAGATAATAGGTTAGCTTTACGACCTGTAAATGAACAGTCCTGTCCTCAGTTTTAGATGTTAGCAATGGAGAGCGGGAAGTATAAATCCAAATTCCGGCTCTCTATTCTGAGTCGTTCTACTGCAGAAGTGATATGGCATTGCTTCCAGCAGTTTAAATCGGGGATTAGATGCTTCGTTTTGGGTTTACTTCGTGCATTTAGATTTACCACACTTTGTGGGATTAATTGGCGAGATTTCAAACCTTTTGCTCGACAGGAACTGAAGCAAAGTCTTGACATTACTGAGAAAAACAATGTTACATTTGCAATCCGAAAGAAAAAAAATGAACCCACAACTTATTTTTATTTGCATGGACTCGAATAATATCATTTTCAGCTGATAAATAGACATGATACTTGACTAACCCACGGTGGTTAGAAAGGAAAATCCACTGTGGAATTCAGTTTTTTCACGCCTTATAGAAAAATAAGAGCAGCTGCCTTTCTCTCATGCATCACAAGTCCTTCAGTAGAATTCATCAGTAACGACAAGACTTATAAATTCTCATGTGATAAAAATGCAGCAGATTACGTTTCAGCATTGAATTTCGTTGGAGTTCCATATTGTTATTGATGGGACGAACGCAACCAGCTGAATGAATGTTGGAACAGAATTATCAAAACATTATTGGAAAGTTTGAGCATGCTCAGCAACATGATGGATGACCGAGTGCTGGAACACAAAAGATTTGAAATGATACAACACACAAACCGCAACAAATGGATTCCCGGGAAACGCATTTTCTCTTCATTTTCCGACACTGTTAATAATCTGCTGCATTAAAACGAGCGGGTTTATAGTTTATGAATAGTTTCCAGTAAGTAGACGTTCAAAGTCGGAGTTTATTGATTGGGTCTGGATTGTGGCGATTTGTGTGGTTGTTAATAATAATGATTCAGATTCACAAATAGCGACTTCTTCCAGTAACGGAAATGAGTGATGCCAAACTGCAGAAGCTGCAGCCAAACCCTATGTACATCAAGGCGGAGTCTCACATTTCATCATGATTGATTACGTTCATCGTGATTAATAACTTCTGAATCAAACCAAGGTTTTCTAATCATCAGAAGCATTGCCAGGAACGTTCCTTCATCTGCTTTGTAAACGTATGAGCTCTTCATACTATTTCATGCTCAACATGGGATCGATATTTCCAATAATGGTGCATAGGAGGGAGTTACATGGCTCTAGTCTAATCAATGTTTTCAGATGCTGCTGTAGACTACTTAAAAACAACACTGTGCAAATCCTTTTGAACCAGTAGGTTTTTGCAAACCAGTAGAACCATTTTTCACCTACTCCTTGTACGTTTAAGATGTATATGGCTGGTTTCTCTCAGACAAGGGTGCCAGGCTCAATCTCAAAAGTAAATCTGTACTTTGTGGCATAAATTAAATGGCTTTTTTTTTTAAAAAATCATTTAACATTCTCAGTGTCATTGACCAATTTACCAATGGAAAACAAGATCTAGAGGTAGAATGCTACAAGATTGTATTACTTTCAGTGAAAATAGATCCATATTAATTCAAAACTAAAGTCATCCATAGTAAAAGAACAATGAATGCTTAAATAATACACTTTCTAATAATACATATTTAGTGTCTTCAGTTGTCCATTTTGCTCCTTTCACTGTTTTATTGCTTTGACTTATTATTTATCATAAACTACCATTTGTGACAGTTCCACTCTCCAGACCAGCCAATCTTATAGCTAAACCAAGTGAGTGAGGCTGTCAATTTAGTGTTAAATTATGGGGCATTTTGTGCAATCAACTCATTATACTGTATACCAGCCCTGACAGCTGACAAACGAAGGGGCCTTTCATCTGATCAGTTTGGATTTTATTCAAACCCAGCAATTAGAGGTTAAAAAAACAGATAAAAATAATAATAACCCTTGCATTTGATATAGCCCCTTATCACATCATTGAGACGTCTCGAAGCATTTCGCAGTATACACCGTAAAGTGAATGGACTATTTTGTGGGCGTTTAGTGCATTAATTACTGCACCATCCAGTTACTCCAAAAAAAACTATTTCATTTCATGAAGCTGCTTAAATGAGTAAATAGATATCTGCAAACTTCAAACAATACATTTCTCACACCCAGAGATTATTGCAGAACTTACCTTTGAGAGACCTCCAACTTCCAAATAGAAGCAGATAACAAATACATTCCAAGTGACCCAGAGTGCTGTCCAGATAGCATACTATAAAGAAAAATGTGGGAAGTTAAATACTCATATATCTGTAGAATGAATTCAAAGCAGAATATAAATTCTTAGCCACATTTGCAGGTGTGAATTTTGATCAATCAACATTCAGCTGTAATAATCCATCAATTTATTTGGTATTGGACAGCAAACATCATTGGAAAATATTGTGATATTTGCAATGTTAGTAGTGATATAAAATTGTTCCAATCCCATTATTGATATCGGCAGCCTGTGGAACTGTTGCTAGTTTGAATTGGAATACAAGCTTCAAGAAAGAGAATATTTCAGAGGTAGTTTTCTTTTACAGGCAAATTATAACTGCTTCAAGCTCAGGCAAGTCGAGACATGCATTGGCAGCATCTGCAATAAGCCTCTTCAAGTCAGCAAAATGCTCTGTGAATTCCAATGCATCCTCCAGCACACCCACTCATAAGGATCACGTGTGCCTGTGAACCTTGGTGTGAAAAGAATCATCACAGAATGAAATGGATTGCGTGATAAATAGTATTGCCATTGCAGGTCTAGTGCATTGAAATCTCTGGGTGCTCTCTCTGTCGGAGTCGTTCCACTCCTTCTAATCCTATCTATAGCTGTCGTCTTGATTCCAGGTTCGCTGAATTAGAAACCTTTTTAGCTTTGTGTGACAATTGTACATCGAAACGTTACAGCCAGATAAGAAATTTCATAGCATTTGAAGTGAATGAGAAACTATTTCTGTACACTGGAACTCATTGCTTGGAGGAGGGTTGCATTTTGCGTTTCACCTTAGTGTCGTTTGCACTATCGAAAAACTGAAAAGCTACAACTTACCACCACAATGTATCGAGGTCTGTATTGAATGGTACCAAAAAGGCCAAGAATAACAATAATGATGTGCAGGAAATTTGCTAAGATTGGGGCCCATTGATATCCCAGGAAATCGAAGATCTGTCTCTCCAAAGCAGCAAGCTTGAAAGGAAAAACAGGGGAAAGAAAGCGTTAGTCTGTTAAATTATTATGAAGAACTATTTTAACTTGGACATCATTTGTATTTCTTAGTGTTGACAATTGTTTGCAAACTAGCCTAACCCACACAGCATTGAATACATCCATTTGTTATGCAGCACAGTTTTGTTTGGGAGGGGCGTGAGTCAGCCGAGTTTCTGATACATGTAGAATCTCATCACCATGCTTAAGAGTATCCAAAGCAGACAGAGATTCCACACGTACATGTCACTTACACATGGAAATTTCCCTGCCAAGAGCCAAGGCTTGGAGACCCTCAAAGTGTATTTTGGGGTAGTGCTTAAACTAAAATGGATAGCTTGCATTGAGAGCATTATCTGTCAAGCTTCCTGCTGCTTGTCCAGCTAGGATCACCCTATTCATTAGGGCTTTGGTTTACATGATTAATATTAATAATATTAATAATAATAATAATCAGCATCTTTGGAGGAAGAATTCTGCTCCCAGTGACTGCTCTCCACCCCCCCAACTCCCACTGACAAACCAGTCTGGCCGCCCTGTCATCAATTGTCATCAAATTCAGTCGAATGATTTTTATTCCAAAATATCTTGAAGTGCGTCATTCTTTACCAGTGTCTGAAGGGAAAGGTCAGTTGTAGTGCAGCAAACGAAACAAAAGCTTTTCAGCAGGAAACAAAAGACTAAACAGGGATGTCAAATAGAAGTTCAGCGACTTTAAATATGTCCATTTGTAACCAATAATGTACACTACCAGAGCCCACTGAAACAATTGACAATGAGTCGTACTCAAGCAAAGACTGGTTCTCAGTACAAAGAATTTGTGCCCAAGTCCGTGCTTGCTCCAGAGAGGAGAAATTGGAGACTAAAAATGTCAGTGCCAGGAGTTTGCTTCCCCTCGTTGGTAACTTTACCAAATTCTGCCTGTATGAGTTTAGAATGGGGAAACCACACATCAACGCAGGTCAACAAAATGACTCCGAACCCGAGAATATACTTTTGCAACCAATCCGATAACCTGATCAGCATGGGGAGAATTGCCCCTTTTTTCCAATTTTAATAACGATAATAATAATCCTTGCATTTGATACAGAACCTTACCACGTCTTCGAGACGTCTCAAAGCACTTCACAAGTGAAACTGACTGTGTATTTTGCAGGCAATTTGGGCGTGGAACGCTGAACTTTTCTAGAATTGGCACATCCCAAACAAACACAAAATGTAACGAAAATACCGTAATACTTAAAAACATTTACCGCATCCATCTCTCATCACCATTGCAAAATGCTTCCCCAGCCCCCACCCTGCCCCATCCCCATCCGTTTGCACACACTGCAGGTCAGTTCAATGTTTTCTGACCACGATGCACACTGAATTAAACGGTAACTAAATCGGTTGCGTGACTAAAACATGCAGTCTGTGTCAGAATCAAATGACACTAATGACTGAGTGAATCCAGCATCCAAACAATCCACGATGGGCCTGTGGCTGGTAATGTAGGTTAATATGAATACGAGTGCTCTGGAGCATTCAGGCGCTGTCTATCAGCAAAGCCACATCACAATGTGAGTGTCATAGATTGGTCTGTTTGCCAAACTAGGGAAGATAATGAACTCCAGTGGGCTCACACAAATGAACAGCATGATATAATCTAAAGAATCATCTTATAATGACTTCAGCTTGAACGGGAGCCTGGTAACAGTGCAGGCCAAAACTGTGACTCTCTGCTTTACTTGCAAATAAACCACAAAGAGATTTTAGAGCATTTCAGTTAGAATTTTGTTTAAAAAACCTATGCAATAAATTTGATCGTTCATAATGAATGCTTAAAAAATAATAAATGGGGTGATACATTGCAATATATATCATTTATCATTGCTACAGACAAAATGGATGAAATCTAAATCGATATAGATAGTAAATTGCTAGTTTAGTAGATATATCGCAGTTACTACACCTTTCTAGGCCAATGTGAATCCATCAAACATATTGGTAAATAGTATGTGAAGTTAGTACTTAACTGGCTTTTAAATGCATTTTGAATCCACGACATTTTACTCCTTCAGACCGACTAACACTGAAAATTGAATTGATTTATCAATGAATTAAAATGAATGAAAGGAATGTTTTAAAAATAATAAATGTTCTCGGAAGACAATATCCGTTACTTGTCGCGTGTTTCACATGCTGTATTAAAAATCAGTTATTACGATAGAACAAAGTGGGTGAGTTATCCAATTCTTTCCCTCTGAGGACTCCAGAATATATCTGCGGGACAATCAGGTGGATACATTTTCATTTCAAGAAATATATTCATCTGGTTAATGAGGACGATCAAAGACATCTGTGACTCTTTCTCTACCTAATCCTTCTGAAGTGACATCTGTGTGGAAGACAAGAATTTCTTTTCATGCACAATTCACCAAGGAATGCACTTCACCTCCTGGAATAGATTGCATTTCTTTCTGAAGAAATTTGTTAATTTGACAGTGCACAAATATCACTTGCAGTTGTATTGTTTCGCCCACAAAATATACAGTCAATTCAATTTACAGTATATTCTGTGAAGCAATTTGAGACATCTCAACAATGTGATAAGACATTGTATCAAATGCAAGAATATTATTAATGTAATTCTTACCACTGAAATGTGACCACTACTTTTTCAGGATGCTTTGTAACCCATGAAAGCAATATCATATCAATATTTTGTTAAACTCTGTTAGCAACAATATTTTTGTATCAACAAAGCAACAAGAGAAAAGCACATGACTGTTTCATTCTAGTCTCGAGTGAATTAAAAATTTGCACTTCATTTTTCTGCTACTCCATCTGGTAGCTTTACTCATACTTTGCTAATAAACTGGAGCTAAGAAGAAATTGTCAATGTCAATCCCCAAACCCAAGAGAAACAGGCACCTACTTCGCAGATGGAACATAAGCAAATACAGATAAATTGGCCACAATCGCATAACAATTCGTTACAAGTGACCTCATATCGTTCCTATGACACATAAATGTGTAAACATTTTACTCAACCTTGCTTTTTTTTAATTATAATGCAGAGAGTAATGCAATCTTCTTAAAGTGCAATGTGTTTTGATAGTAAAGCAATATTACGTCACTATTTAATAGGATGGCATTCTATGTACTCTCATAAGCGTCTACCTGCACCTTTGTACAGTTCAGATGGAGGGTCGGTCAATGAAAAGAACAGTTGCAATTGTTCATAAACCGTTTGATCATAGATTGATTCATAGCAAAATTATAGCTCGGGGCATTCTTGGCAGGCCTTGAATGCAGCTATCTCAAGACTTGATTATAATTTTGCTCTGACTTTGTGGAGAGGAGTGGAACATGCACAATGAAGTGTATTTTCCATCAGGGAAGAAAACCTTACAACACACGAGTTAGCAAAGTCGTGACTGGCATATTAAAGTGAGAGGTTACTCTGGGGGGGTAAGTATTTTGAATGTTAAATAATGCAATCATTTACAATATGAAAATTAGCTCTTGGGGGAAAGTTGAATCTTAAAGGGTCTTTATCTTTGCAGCTTTAAACACATCCATTTCACTGTGTTAAAAAGTCAAGTGCGTTTGCTGCAGTAATCCCTCGACTACTTCAAGACACGTCTCAAGACCCTCCTCTTCGACCACGCCTTAAAGTAGCTTTCTTATTTCGCACTAAATTTATTTGAAAATGCTCCATGCTGTTTTTCAATAAGAAAGCATTCTATTCGAGTGAAATTAGAGGCACTTTGTGTTTCTGGAAAGCAAAGGAATTTTGTTTTTGTTAACAACCAATAATTAAAAGGACACCTACATCATACAAAATGTAAAAACAACAATAATAGTCCTTAGGATTGATACAGCCTTTACCGTCAGGAGAGTGTCTCAGAGCACTTCACAGGGTTTACCAGAAAGTGTAGTGACTGCATATTTCTGTCTATCGATACTTATATTCTACTGCAACAACAACATAGTGTTGGCAATTATGCTAATAGCGCGGTGCGCTTAGGGCAATGAGAGAGGCTGGTAGATAGATAGCAGAAACAGTCACAGTTTGTCAGCCATTCTGTCAGTTGCAGGTGTTTTCTCTGCTGTTACAATGGTTTGCACAAGTTTGGGAAATGAGACCTCACCCTTAAACTAATATAAAGTTTTCGATCTGCTGCAGGAGATGGATTTGGAATTCCTGATCCCATAGATAATTTTAAAAATATAAACTGTGGGATGAAGACTTTTATTTAGTTATAATACAATGTGATACAATGAAACACGTGACCAGTATGTTCGTGAATGTAATGGTTCCAATTAAGCTGCTCCCTCATTACCTTCATCGTAATGATTACTGGACCGAAAGGAGAAACTAATGTAGTGCAGCCAGCACAGATCACTACATATCATTCTATCACCAGCATTGAAATAGTAGCTAACATCAATCACAAATCAGCCTGAACACAACACAGCGAGGACATTATCCTGCCGCATGCAAATATATCACCACATATCAAGCTCTTGAGATTAATGTTGGTATGAATGCTTGAGATAATTACATTTTAGCTATAAATAGCATATTTTCCCCTGCACATCATTTCACTTTCTTGCCACGGCATCATATATTGAAACAGAAAATTAATGTTGTTCTAATTGCCCCAGACAATTTGTTGTGACCACAAGACGGGTACATTTTTTGTGTGGAAATGCAAATCAATCACCCAAATTATTTGTATCGTACAAGCCAGTACCGGATTTTTTTTGTACATCAATCACTCGACAGATGGAGGTGTCAATCACCTGAGCTCACTATTAATCGGGAACCAAATTGAGACGGTTTCACAGAAGGGGATGCATGAAGGTTAGAACAAACTTATTAAAAAAAAAGTTGTTTCTTATCCGTGTAACTTGTCATTTGTTAATGCTGTAATTAAACTTGCGTCCTGACACATGACCCATGTTTGAATCATTAAACAAAGCAAGAATTC